GACCAGGGCCAGATTTTCCCATCCTTACCGGACTACAGTTATGCTGTTATATGAAGATATAAAGAGTGAAATCACAGCTTTATATGACAGTTTCCCTTTTAAAGATGCAGTTGCAACATTAGCTTTGCATTTATCAGGCAATATCTTTGTTCTCTCTCCAGCTGATGCAACATGCTACAATACTCCTGCTATCATTCCCCCCTCTCTCTTTTTTTATCGGATACCAATATGTCATTATTGTCACAAATAAAAAGATTTGAATTGGTTTTAGATGCTGAGGAGTACTGGAAAGTTCAGTTATATGTAGCGAATTGGTTCGTTTCAATGGTTCATTTTTCATTTGAATCAGTACTCAAAAGTGTTCAGAGATCATTGCATTTTTTTTCTTTAATTTTGGGCATAAAATCATTTTTTTAATTGATTATGGCATAGAGAATGTACAGCTGGTCGTTTTCACGAAATGATTCGACAAACACAATGATTCAAAAAGAATCAAATGCATAGTGGACCGTTCATTATCAAAATTATTACATACTTTCCAGACCAAAAAAAAAAAGTATGTTATGTAAATCCGCAGAGTGAGACGAGACAAACCAGTAAAGATATGTAAGAAATCAGTGGCCTTGGTCAGTTAAAAAGTTTAACGGACAAAGTACAAAATCGACTGCAGAATGCAGTATTCCACAGAAGTGGTTTATCAATGTTTTTGATTTAGTTCATATAGATTACATTTATGTTGTCAGCCAACTCACATGATGACAGTAGAGTCATTTTTAATTGCTTTGGTAATCAGTTTGACCAGTTCATTCAAAATAATGATTTGTGAATCAGACATCGGTCATTTAAAAAGGCTTTGAGACGAGGTGAGTAGTTGACATTAGAGTTTGGTTGTCGGACAGGATTCTGATGCAGTCTTTGGTCAGTTGATGACAGCATTATGAAGCCTTCATGGGTTGATCTTTAGACATTGTGTTAGATGTGGTGGGAGTTCGTCTCAGCGTTGGCAGAGGGTCCGTCAAGCCTGCGGGACACTGACAGAGAGAGAACGGCTTTCAGATTCAGATCACACACCCCTGCATATCAGCCTCCTGTAAAACAGCCCAATTTAGCCCTGACACCAGCGCAAACATCTACGTGCATCTGTCAACACTGATTCCTTCAGTCCGCTCCAAAACGGCTCGCAGTCTACGCACATACACAACTTTCTTTCTTACATGGACGTATGAGCTCACTAATATGCTCTCGGCTTCTGCCTGTGCGATCACATCAAACATGAACCCTTTTAAAGTCACCTGATCTGACTTTAAATGACCTTGTCATTTGGTTCTGATAGTTACAAATGTTTAATTTAAAATACTTCATTAAATATTCAATTAAAATAAAATTTAAATATGTTTACATTGGAGACATGGCAACATGTTTAATGCACAGGGAGACATTGAACTAAGTCGCCACAAGTTTAATCAATTAAAATGGCAAAAAGAACAAAAATACATCTATTTCTGTTTTATGTGTGTGTGTACGTGTGCTGGTAAACCCTACATTATGGGGACAATTTTCTGTGATGAGTAGGGGGATAGAATATACAGTTTGTACAGTATAAATATCATTAAGTCTATTGAAAGTCCCCATAAAACATGATTTTTCCATTGGATGTGTGAGATATAAAGCTGTATTGGAGGTCTCTGATATTCTGGAACTCTGAGGGTCCGTAGGGGTTTGAGTAGCGCCTCCCTGCTGGGCTCTTGCCTCTGCGCCTGGCTGGGCAGAACGGGAACCTCCGGGTCCCAAGGGAAGAACCTCAGACAGGACTACGCAGGCGGACAGGCAGCTTGGAGCTTAAGAGAGTTACAAGGAGACCGAATGAACAAGAGAGACTGACTTGTTGATGAGAGGAGGGCTCACTGACAAGTCACAACTATAGAAGACAAAAACAGATCATGTACATACTTGATATGTACATACGTGTGGGGTGGGGGAGGGGGGAGCTGCTTTGCTCTGTTCTGGGATTGTGGTGTATTGGTTGAAGAATTAAGTTTGTAGGTTGTATGTTCATTGGGTCTCATTCATTCATAAATCCGACTGACAACTAGGCTATATATGGGCATCATATTATTTATGACACCAAACGAAGGATTTCAACGTCTTCTCAAAAGCGAATGATTGAAAAAGAAAAAAATTCTCAGATGCAGAAATCGAAGTTTCATTATCAGAAGTTCATTCAAAACACCACATTTTATTTTCAAGCGTAGGCTACATAGTAGGCCATCAGGTCCTAAAAAGCTTGGCAGCATATTACAGATGCAGTTAATGGAGTTTCATCTGTTAATCAAACAGTCCCAGAAGTAATAAGAAAAACCGTATGTAATTACTATATATATAATTTTTTTTCAAAATGCTGTGTAAATATGTACCCGATTAAGGTGAATTAAAATGCAGCCTTAGTTATTAATGAGCAAAACTTTCGGATGTTAAACTCACTATTTACGCGTGGCTGGGAGCAGGTGTAGATTTCTTTCGTACCAACTAACATTTGGAAAATACGAACATTTTAATGAATACGAAAATTTACGCCAGAACCACTTTACACACGATTTACACAAAAATTCGTTCTGCTCATGTTTCATGAATGAGACCCAATATGTGTAAAGAGCATTCAATGAGCTGTCACCAAAGAAATATTTCACCTAAAAATAAAAGTTCTGTAATTCTCGTGTAATTTCTTTCTTCTAGTAGTGCAAAATAAGATTTTGTGCAGAATGTCCTGGTTGCCTTTTTTTGTACAATGTAAGTAATTGAGGAAGAAAGTCACTGAGCTCCAAAAACACCATACAAATAGTTTATACGACTACTGCATACGTCTATACATTCAATTCCAAGTCTTCTGAAGCCATATGATCGCTTTGTGTTGAAAAAAAACAAACATTTTTGTTGCTGATGATGACCCTCGGTCGTAGCTCAGATGTATTGCGCCAGGTTTCATGTCAATGTCATTTGGTCATCACAACCACACTGGCATTCTTGTCCCTTCAAGACACTCAGTTTGACATTAAAGAATAAAGATGTAAACGTTGTTGTCTTTGTCATTGATATCTGAGCTATTATTTCCAGTTCTCCTTACCTCAGGAGTCTGTCCTAAGTATATGCTTAATAAGTATACTGTAGGGCACTTTGCATAAAAAAACTGCTGAATGACTGCTTACAGTAAGAATATTTAGCGATTTCCTCTTGCAATGTGATTAAAATGGTTTAAACGCTGAGCTTGGCTGAGAACGTCTGCTCTCTCTCCGCTCGGGCCGTGTGTGGTCCTTCGTAAATATTTGATATGAACTTTAGTCATGAATCTGAGCTGCCGCTTGACATTTCACTGCACTGCAATTAGAATTCAAACTCAAATAGTATTCTTAATTACATTTGGGAATGTCATAGTCATGGTCCAGATATGCTTGGTGTAGAGCCGCCAGCCCTGCAATCACCAGCCACTATGTCAACATCCAATCAGGGAGAAGTATTAATGAGGTAATGGAAGCAGTGGAACTGCTGTACAGACTTTATTTATATCACTTTCAATAGATAGCTTAAAATCAAGCAGCTTTACCGTAATAAACATGAAAAACAGTGTCAGTGTCTCGTTTCATCTGAAGTATAACTTCATTTTCTACTGTAAAGCAACTCTCCAGCGTGTTCATGTTTTCAGTCTCGGACGTCTGATGGTGGTACGAAGGTGTTTAGCATCCGGAGCTAACTTTTCTGGAAAGTTCGCTTTGGCAAGCTGTTTCAAAATCCCCAAACGAACTTTGTTTTGGCCTGATTTTGTTGGAAATGATGTCACATTAGTTCAATCCTGTCTGACTTGTTTATTTCTGCAGAATGCAGAACATTTTGAAGAACGCAGGACCCTATAATATGGAAGACAATTTCCGCAAAATAAGGGAGATACTAAGGCATGATTACGTGATAAAAAGTCGGAATTCTGACATAAAAAGTATACATTTTTCACGTGTGACTTCATAATTGTTTTAAAGACAAGTCAAAATTGACACTTACTGTTTGGCTTAATTATTGTTTTCAAGACAAAAGTCATAACTGACATAACTATTTTCATAATCTCGACTGTAATAATTATTTTATATATATCTATGTGTTTTACAAAAGAAAGAAAGTCATACAGGGACGACAACAGGGAAGAAAAGTCGGTCGCAATTTCCTGTTCATGCCGACTTTAAGATCTATTCAAGATCAATGTTGTTGTTTTTTTTAGCCTGATAAATTGTGTGTGTGTGTGAGAGAGATTTAAGAAAAAGAAGCAAAATTTATGATGCTATTGTTGTTTTGTTGCTCTTTCTCCATTCAAGTCTATAAGCTTTACTAGTTTTCCTAAAATGTAGCTGCCTGGTGGCGTCACCAAGATGACGGCTACATAAATTGACATGAGAGACTTCGGTAAAGCGTTCCAAATCGGTTTCCCTCAGGATGTTGCCTATGTTGGCAGTGTAGAGCAAAGCAGCTCAGCAGGTTTTGGTACAGAGCCAATGAATCCTGCCTCTGTAAAAAAAAAACAAAAAAAACATTGTCGCTCTCATTCACTTCAAGTCTGTTTTTTTACTCTCTCTTTCTCTTTGTCTTCTCCCTTGTATCACTGAACCCAGCCTTTGAGGGCTTCTGAAATAGAGAGGGACCACTGGACTGGAAATTGCTCTCCCTACATGTCCTCCCCTCTCTCTCTCTCTCTCTCTCTCTCTCTCTGCTCTGTGTGTAGGGTGGTTGCGGATAATTGTCTCTCTGTGCCATACACAGCTGTAGCCGAGGGGTGTTGGACAGCACAGAGAGTTCAGTGTCCCAGTGGGGGACCCGTCAGTGTGTTGGACTCAATTAATCCTCTTTCCGCTGGTTAACACTAAAAATATAACTCCTCTTCCTCGCTACTCTGTATTCAAGCCTTTTGCAGAACCTACGAGCGAAACAGGTGTGATCACACAATGTCTGTTTGTGTTTTGCAGTCTTTACGGGCGACACATGCAGGCCAACCCCGAGGCGCCCAAAAAGAATGCCGACAAATCAAAGAAGATCAGCCGCAAGCCGCTGGCGGCCAAGAACAAGTGAAGAAGGGCTGATCCGAACATCCGAGATGAACCTCACTGCATGTGCCTTCTTCGTTTGATATTTATTCATAAAGTATGTTTTTTATTGCTTCAGTATTACGTTAATCATGTAATCTCCAAATGGCCAATCATTTCTTCCATGTTTAAGAAGTGTCCTTCTTGTCCAATGCCACTTTTTGCCTTCAAAGTGCCACTTCTGTCAATTCAGACCTGCGCTGGGTGCTAATCCGATTTCTGAACGCGTGTCTGTTGCGTCTCTTGAGAGGCGGCGGGAGTGTTGTCCTAGTCATCCATTCAGATGAGGGGAGCAGGGAATTTTGGGAGGTGGTGACGAGTGTTTTGTAACCGAAGAGGGATTTAGCAGGAGTTTGGGGGTCTTAGTGGAGTCTGAGCAGGATTGTGTCAGGTCTCCGGCGGGACACCGCCGACTGCTTTCTCTGCCTCTTAATGACAGATATGAATGGCTGCAAATGGTAGTTTCAGATGGTACACAGCAGATACCAGACACAAACACCCCGGTGGCCATTTGAGAGGGTCAACAAGATATCGTAACAAACCACAGATGATGTTCTTTGAAGCGGTTGGCCATTGTTTCTTACTATGTATTCAAGTTAACATGAGAGTGCAACTTTTTACAGAACTATGTACAGTAGCGTTTGTAAAGAACCAGTTTGGGGTTAATCATTCAACAATAATTGTCATTTCTGCTGTCATCTTTCACTACAGATTGCGTACACTAACATCATGTAATTCTGCAAAGCTTGGCTGAACTTAAAGGAGAACTCCGGCGCAAAATGAACCTTTGGTCTAATTACACATTGTTACCTAGTCAACCGTTATCTGAGATTTGTTTTCATGATTATCGAATGTAAATAGTTTTATCTCTAAAAACAGTTTAGCCTATAAAGCTAGTATAATGCTAGTATATTGGGCATAGTGTAATGACAAATAAAAATCGCTTGTTAATACCACTAACAAGGCTCAAAATAGACCCACACTAACACGGTAGCATAATGAGGGTCCCTACCTTCAAACCGAAGCATTGAGAACTTTGTCAGTGTCCAGACAGTTTAATAAGAAGATATTTTAAACATACAGTCAACTTCGTGTATACAGACAGGAGCCATCTTTGAAATACAGTCTTTACCAGTCGATCTACGAACGCCGATTGGTCAAAAAAGGTCCATTGTCTATAGAGTGCAACAGTTGGGTTTTGGAAGTAAAAAACTCAGGGAAAATGATTTTTAATAATAAATTATAACCAATTAAAGTCAGCCCTACTGTGAGCTACGGGGTTGTTAATGGATGGTATTTGCTTCTTTTGAAGCCGTCAGTATGTATTATATATATGTATTTTTTTTAAATAATCGTTTAACAGCTGACTTTGTGGTGAAACTACATTACCCATGATGCTGTACAGAAAATTACACCAATCAGAGAGTCGAATCAGGCAAAACAAAAGATCTTGTTAGCTCCGCCCACTCTCATGAAGCATTTGACGTAATTGAGTCTGTTTCCCTACACTCTCAAATAACTTAAATAAACGTAATATACGTATATATTTATAATCAACATTTTTAAATGAGTAGTTCTATATTCCTCCATCTTTTTAATTCGATTGAACTGTTCGCAATGCTTCATGGGATTGTAGTTCTTTCACTAAAGCCGTTAAGTCCACAGTCTTGTACCTTTATCTTCTTATCCGATTTTTTGCTTCAAATCAAGCTTTGTAATGTTGTGATTCTCCTCGTAGCTGGTTGGCCTGGTTCATGGCTAAAAATGCTTTAACCATGACTTTTTTTTTTTTTTTTTGGAAATCCCTGTGGGAGAAATGAATGGAAAAAAATACTTCCGGAACCAGCGCCGCAGAAAAGGCACTAATGCACTCGATTGTCAATAGTGTAGCAATGAATGACGCACAGCTCACACAGTCACTTTCTTTTTTTCACAGTCACAAACTAACCAACTTTCTATTGGTCAATGCAGCAAATTCAAGAAACCAATTTGAACCCGTTGTGAAATCTGCTTGGGGAAATCTTTCGCCCTCGCGCTAAATATGGGATTACATAGATATCTATTGAAATGACTGGATTTCGAAGATGAAAATTCGCCAAACAAAGGTAAACGTGACCACACCTTTAGATTGTGCATAAGTGCTTGTTAGCATGGCCATTTAATCTCCTACTGGTAGATGTTGTAACTTCACTATCTGAACCCTAAAAGCATCTTTCTTCTTTGACGCCCGTTCCAGGAAAGTCTTGCACCAACCACTGAGATGAAACAGCTTCCTCCAGGTATTCTAGATCTCATTTTTGTTGCCTCTATAAATCAGAACCATGCATTTGCTATTTTGGGAATTTGCAACAATCATAAGTGCTTGAAAAACAAGTTAAAGTTAGAATCTTCTGAAAGAAAGTTCTGGGGCAGAATGCTTGATTTGCAGGGTGTATTTCTGTATACGCGAAGTTGACTGTATGTTTAAAATATCTTCTTATTAAACTGTCTGGACACTGACAAAGTTCTCAATGCTTCGGTTTGAAGGTAGGGACCCTCATTATGCTACCGTGTTAGTGTGGGGCTATTTTGAGCCTTGTTAGTGGTATTAACAAGCGATTTTTATTTGTCATTACACTATGCCAAATATACTAGCGTTATACTAGCTTTATAGGCTAAACTGTTTTTAGAGATAAAACTATTTACATTCGATAATCATGAAAACAAATCTCAGATAACGGTTGACTAGGTAACAATGTGTAATTAGACCAAAGGTTCATTTTGCGCCGGAGTTCTCCTTTAAGTTTTACTTTTTTATGGATGTGTTATTGTTTATTTTAAAAAAAGGTCACAAGCTGTTTCATTGCAATCACGTTTAAAGTTGTAATATTTTCATATCTTTTATCATGTGCACACTGATCAGTGTGCTATGTACTGATTTTTTGACATTGAAATAAAGTCACCATTTTGTTGGACGATTCGGTTTTTCATTCTCCGGTCTTCATTCTTCAGTGTCACATGATCCTTCAGAAATCATTCTAATATGCTGATTAGATTTGTTGTTCAAGAAACATTTCTTATCAATGTTGAAAATTATATTACAAAAGTCTTTTCTGTCACTTTTAAATTATTGCATCCTTACTGAATAAAAGTGTTAATTTCTTTGAAACCCCTAACTTTTCAACTGTATACTGGTATGACCACGTCATGTTAAACTAAGTTGTACTATAAAGACTTCTCATTCATGTAACTTTGAAGAAATTGTGTAAATTGTTTGTTTTGAATTTAATCTGACGATTTACATAAGAATAGATTTACAACATACACAGAAAATTGTGCAACTGAATAAACAGACACAAGAATACACTTCTTTTTTTTTACATGCAAATCGTCAATTGGGTTTTACTTTTGTGCGCTGATTTACGTATTTATCCATTATGTTGAAACTGTATCTTACTATGCCTCTCATAATTTCAATTATTTAAAAAAAAAATGAGCTACTTTCAAGATGCTAACTAAAACTACTTAGGGGGACAATGTTTGTTTAAAAAATTTAACTGATTATATAATTGACTGTTTTGTCATTTTAATTTTGTCTCACCACACTAAAAGTAGCTCATCATTGAAAAACCTTCACTAGTTTGAAAACAGCTGAACTAAAGTCACACTACCGGACAATTGTCACTTTTAGTTGCTCTCCAACATTAGTTGTCACCTTATTAAGTATAATCAGTGTAAAGGTGTGGGAAAAAGCCCATTGGTCAAAAAAGGTCCATTGTCTATAGAGTGCAACAGTTGGGTTTTGGAAGTAAAAAACTCAGGGAAAATGATTTTTAATAATAAATTATAACCAATTAAAGTCAGCCCTACTGTGAGCTACGGGGTTGTTAATGGATGGTATTTGCTTCTTTTGAAGCCGTCAGTATGTATTATATATATGTATTTTTTTTAAATAATCGTTTAACAGCTGACTTTGTGGTGAAACTACATTACCCATGATGCTGTACAGAAAATTACACCAATCAGAGAGTCGAATCAGGCAAAACAAAAGATCTTGTTAGCTCCGCCCACTCTCATGAAGCATTTGACGTAATTGAGTCTGTTTCCCTACACTCTCAAATAACTTAAATAAACGTAATATACGTATATATTTATAATCAACATTTTTAAATGAGTAGTTCTATATTCCTCCATCTTTTTAATTCGATTGAACTGTTCGCAATGCTTCATGGGATTGTAGTTCTTTCACTAAAGCCGTTAAGTCCACAGTCTTGTACCTTTATCTTCTTATCCGATTTTTTGCTTCAAATCAAGCTTTGTAATGTTGTGATTCTCCTCGTAGCTGGTTGGCCTGGTTCATGGCTAAAAATGCTTTAACCATGACTTTTTTTTTTTTTTTTTGGAAATCCCTGTGGGAGAAATGAATGGAAAAAAATACTTCCGGAACCAGCGCCGCAGAAAAGGCACTAATGCACTCGATTGTCAATAGTGTAGCAATGAATGACGCACAGCTCACACAGTCACTTTCTTTTTTTCACAGTCACAAACTAACCAACTTTCTATTGGTCAATGCAGCAAATTCAAGAAACCAATTTGAACCCGTTGTGAAATCTGCTTGGGGAAATCTTTCGCCCTCGCGCTAAATATGGGATTACATAGATATCTATTGAAATGACTGGATTTCGAAGATGAAAATTCGCCAAACAAAGGTAAACGTGACCACACCTTTAGATTGTGCATAAGTGCTTGTTAGCATGGCCATTTAATCTCCTACTGGTAGATGTTGTAACTTCACTATCTGAACCCTAAAAGCATCTTTCTTCTTTGACGCCCGTTCCAGGAAAGTCTTGCACCAACCACTGAGATGAAACAGCTTCCTCCAGGTATTCTAGATCTCATTTTTGTTGCCTCTATAAATCAGAACCATGCATTTGCTATTTTGGGAATTTGCAACAATCATAAGTGCTTGAAAAACAAGTTAAAGTTAGAATCTTCTGAAAGAAAGTTCTGGGGCAGAATGCTTGATTTGCAGGGTGTGATCTGAAATGGCTAAAGAGGATCATCACATCTAAAAATTGATTTTCCCATTGGAGGCCCTGTCTTGGTCCGGACCTCCATGACAGGAGATCAGGGGTAAAGGAGCTGACCTTTCAGTGCTGCGAGTCAGATGATGTTGATAGGCTTTGTAGAAGGTCCATGATAGCCGCGTGGGATTTCCTGTCTCTCTTTGCTAATTTTCTGCTCACATTATTATTACCCCATCCAGACGGCGTCTGTGCGTCGCCCTGTCCTCCTCGTTCACACTCTCTGTTCTCTCGAACGCTCTCAGCAGGCACATCTGTCCAGCGCACCTTCGCCCAATACACTTTCCTCTTGCGCTCAGCAGGAACATCTGTCAATGGCAAAGTCCACACCGCTTGCCGTACCTCTTCGACTGTCTCGCGCCCCTCTGAATTCTTCATCCACTTCCGAAAGTTTTCTTTGCATTTCAAACTGATGAGTCTTGGAGAGAGGTGTGGTTTCGAAAAGTTTTCCACAAACTGTTGGACATTCATTACGGCCTCGAAGTCTTCAGGCGATCAATCTCTTGGTCCGCGGAGAAACGGTTCTTTAGATCCCGACCCGAGCTTGTCCCATCCTTCTGCCAGTGTCGATAGGAAGTGGGACGTTGAAGTTTAAAAATGAGTCCGAATGGCGATGGATCACCCCGCACGCGGCACGGCCGACAATTACTCACTGACCTTTCAGAGAAATCCTTGAACGTCTTTTTCCCTTGCTTGAGTTACAGACTTGTAGCAATTTTGTTCGGCTTGATTAGTTTTTTTGTTTGTTTAGTTTGTTTTATCACCCTGTTTAAAATGATTTCTCGAGGCGTACTCTCTATGCAGCTCATACGCTGAAGGGCATTACGGCCCTCGCTAACCGAGGTCATTGATTTTTGCCACTTGATTTATGGGGCGAGGGAAACTCCTCTGGAGAGCAGGTCCCATGCCGGCGTCGTCGGAGGCGCTGTTGAACCTAGACTTTCATCAAGCGCCCAGGGTAAGCAGTATGGATAGTGGTCCATTGTGTTGTCCGAAGATAATTGGGTGCGTTGAAGTCAAAACTCGGAACAATACAGCAGATCCAGTGCCAATGCCACTGCTGTAGAGGCAACCAGTCCGTCTAACCAGTAATCCTTGCGAAACAGAGGCTACTAACCTGTTGAATTCAAGAGATGCACCTCAAGCGTTCAGTAGCACACAGTCATGCGACTGCAAGGTGGTCGATTCCCAGATTGGAATTAAATGAATGATTTGTTCTTGCATCCGGTAGTGGCAGTGCATCACTGGCAGGTCTATACTATTGGCATACGTGTCGGTTTGTGGTTTGCGCCGTTACCTTCAAAGCTCATTCTCAGGGATACGTGAATAAACATTTCCAATAGCTTCATTTTTCACTGTGCAGTGACCTAGAACATAAGCTTGACTGAAAAGGGGACTGTACGAGTGCAGAAGTTTGGGTTGCGCATCGAAAAGTTAAAGAAACACATTTCAAGGGATGTAAACGTCAAATTCCCAAAGCGTTGATGCTTGTTTTCTCCAGGGTGGTTATCTATCCAAACTTTCCATCCAAATTTTCATCTTTTGACATAAAACATAACATTTTGTAACATAATTTGTGTGTGTTTGTGTGCATATACATATATAGCCTACTGTCACTGTGTCTATATATATATGTTATATATACACACACACACTGCCAATTTATATATATATATAATTTATATATATTTACAGATAATAATTTAAATTATTATATATTTGAATTATACTCTTCTTTGATTACAATTTCTATTACCCAAACATTTTTAAATATTTTTATGTTACATTTTTATACTGTTATTATGATTATAATATTGTACTTATTTAAATATATATATAAAAAATGCTGGCTTGATATTGCTGAAAATCCATTAAGTAGTTTGTAATAGAATTAACAGCTTTTTTAAACTTTAGAAAGTATATCATATTTAAGAAAAAAGTTATTTATCTTAATTAATTGTTGGTTTAACTTAAAATAATTAATAATTGAATTATTTAAATAAAAAAATTGAGTTAATACAAAGGAGATCGGTTTAATCAACAGAAACTTGAACTATTATGTTATCTGAACATTAATTATCTAAGCAGATTTGAAGTAGAGTGTGACAACATGTCCCGCTATATTTCAGTTATGTTTAACAGTCTAGACTTATTGTTTAATTTTTCTGTCAGTCTGTCTGTCCTGTGTAGGTGTTTGATTTAGATGTCTGTGATTTAGCGTTTTGGTATTATAACCCAGTGCTGTATCTCTCCCTCCCTCTTTTCTCTCGTGTCCTGCGCTGCGCTCACACTCACGCAGAGCGTCTCAGTTCTCCACATTCTCATGACATCCACCTTTATCCAGCTCATCCTGTCTTTTGTGCACTGAGGAAAGACTTTAAAAGCGAGGAAAGGATACCGGGGTGTGTTCCAGGATCTCAGGCAGCTTTTCTCGTGCATCAGTGGAGTTTTTCTTTGCGCCTCCACATGTGGAGAGACGCTGACGCCGATGCGCTTCTGGAGACATGCTGATGCTGAAGCAGGGCTGTGAGTGAGCCAACATCAGCAGAAAAGAAGTTAAGTGAGAGAAGAGGACAAGAAGAGAGAGAAAAAAGAGAGAGGGTGTTGGGGCCCACGCCAAAAGTTCATTAACAAAACCAATCGGACTTTTTTTTCTCATCTGTAGTGGTGCCTCGCCAACCTTCAAAATTTCGCCCAAAAGCAGACAGGAGGATCGGCCGGTGCTGACGAGACTCGTCGGCAGGAAGCGGCTGATCGCGGCTGGGGTGCTTGGTGTGGTCATGGTCCTGGTGCTGGTGATACTGATCCCGGTTTTGGTGAGCTCTGCCGGGACATCCGCCGCGCACTACGAGATGCTCGGCACCTGCAGGATGGTTTGCGATCCTTATGGTACCAAATCCCCGACCAGCACGGTCTCAGCAGAAACAGTCCGGGACAGCAACCTTATGCAGTCTTTACCAACTTTTATACAAGGTCCGAAAGGTGAACCGGGACGCCCGGGGAAAGCGGGGCCGAGGGGGCCTCCCGGTGAACCCGGACCACCCGGACACCCTGGACCTCCTGGAGAGGTGGGACAACCGGGACGACCTGGATTACCCGGGCAACCGGGACCAAATATGGCCACCGGTGCCATCAGCGCGGCCACCTACAGCACCGTGCCCAAAATCGCCTTTTACGCAGGGCTAAAAAAGCAGCACGAGGGCTACGAGCTGCTGAAGTTTGACGACGTGGTCACGAATCTCGGGAATCATTACGACCCCACCACGGGAAAATTCACCTGCTCCATACCGGGAATATACTTCTTTACCTACCATGTGCTCATGCGAGGAGGAGACGGAACCAGCATGTGGGCTGATCTGTGTAAGAACAACCAGGTGAGCGCGCGCGCACACACACACACACACACACACACAAACAAACACACAAACAAACACACGCGCTATGAGTCAAAGACATCTCTTTCTTTCTTTCTTTCTTTCTTTCTTTCTTTCTTTCTTTCTTTCTTTCTTTCTTTCTTTCTTTCTTTCTTTCTTTCTTTCTTTCTTTCTTTCTTTCTTTCTTTCTTTTATTGATTCATCTATTAACGTAAAAGTTTGTTTCCATCCTCAGAAAATCACACTTGAAAATTTTCTGTTCAGTTCCAAATGAGGGTTCTTTTAGCTTTACAAATATCGTAGACCTTCTGCGTGTAAAATATGTGTATTTTGAAAAAAAAAAAAATCGGTATTCTCATGATTATATGTAGATAACGTATGGATAAAATCATTTTCCAAATGGGCTGTTTAAAGATAGCCTACATAAAGTATCAACCATCAAACCATGAACAGTAATTAATTATTACTTAAAGTTATTAATGACTATTGTTTGTATATTTATTAATTATTATTATTATTATGTCAAGATTGAATACTAAAACAAATAATACAAATAATACATTTTTAATAGTAGTCGTATTATCGTTGTTATTATCATATTAAACAATTTCACTACAACTTAATCAACTGCTGAAGTTTTCATCTCACATTATGGTTTTCTGATTGGAGAAATTTATTTTAAAACAATGAGCAGGATCTTTCTTCCAGATATTCTGCTTGTTTTTCCCCCACCACATTTTTACTAATTTAATCAAGAAGAGAAAAAATGCATATAATGAAATTAATCAACATCTTTATTTCATTAAAATAGTATCAAACTTGAGTTTCACAAGGTGAAAATTAATGATTCGAATGTATTCACACCTAAGTTAAAAACTTAAATAAAATGTGTTAATAGATGCAACAGCTTGAGTGAGTCAAAGCAATTTTACATGCAGCATGCAATTTTTTGCTCACATAACAACATACAATATATCCCAGTATGTTTGTTGAAACCCAATAAATAATTGTCATATTTTCACATACTTAAAAGAATGGCATGCTTGGTCTCAGACCAAATTATATATATATTGCACATATAGTAAATATGTAATAATATGCAATACAATCACATAATATGCAAATATGTAATGTAAAAGTTACATGCCAGCCACTGTTTTAAAGTGTATCCTGGTGTATCTTAAAGAAACAATTAGGCACTTTTCATTGATACCAAAGGTTTGTGGGTGTGGCCAATATGATAATATTTACACACACACACATATATATATATAGGCCTATGTGTTACACATTTAATATGAACTTATTTATACAATTGTCACCATGATGTGATAATAATTGTAATATATTTCTTTACTAAACACTCAGACCTTACCCAATCATTTTGCTGGGTCTCCTCAGGTCTATAAAGACTTGAGACCTAATATACAGTATATGCATGGAAAGCCTGTATATCATATTATGCAATTTTTTTGGCATCTGACAGCTGAAACGTTGCACTAAATGTTCCTCCCGCAGGTCCGTGCCAGTGCCATCGCCCAGGACGCAGATCAAAACTACGACTACGCCAGCAACAGCGCCGTTCTTCACCTGGAGCCCGGAGACGAAGTCTACATCAAACTAGACGGGGGAAAAGCCCATGGGGGAAACAACAACAAGTACAGCACCTTCTCTGGGTTTATTATATACGCCGATTAGGACATGCGCACCTACTCCAGACGGTCTATCCTGTCCCCCTCTGCTACTCCTCCTCTTCTTCTTCTTCTTCTTCTTTTTTTTTAGCATATTTTTCCTTTTGGCCCGGGGGCAAGCAGACAGACCTGCTCAAACACCCCTCATCATTAGTCTGTAGATGTGGGTTTGAAGGCAGAACTCTTTGCCCTGCAATCCAAAAATCAAGAACCAAAAAGTAAAAAAGAAAGAAAAAAAAAGAAAAAGCCCGGAGAAAGAAGCACTTCATCACAGAGGAAAGATGTACGGAGGAGAAGGAGCTTCCGAGGAGAAGGAGGTTACTGTGTGTCTTTCTATGTCTGTGGCCATCAAAGAAGCCTGTGAGATGTTTTATAATATGTAACCTGACATAATCAGCTATATGTGCAATAATGTGAACTACGATATCTGTTATTCCAGTTCCATCTCGGTAATACATGACTAGTCAGATGCCTAAATGACTTTGAATCATGAAGCATTAACCCAAATGATATCATATTCCATTAGATATCCAGTGTAACCTGACCAAAACTGATCCTCTTGTGTTCCTCTTGCATAATATATATCTGCTAAAAGACTGCAGATATTTGTTCCCTGACTGTTTGTGAGTGCTAATTATGAATTAGGGACATACAACAAAACAATATACCTTGGTGGTAATGGCTTGCGGTGAAATAATATTCCAGTTAAAGCTTTCAGCGATTTACTTTTAGTCTGCAGTGTCAGGGTGTCAAAAGCCCGTTTTTTAAAAACTTTTTTTTTTTTTTTTTTGGTGTGTAATGTTAGCCGGCATCTTTTATTGCACACAGACGTATTAGACCGAGAAGGAATATGTTTCTTGTGATATTTAGAGCACTATGCAGAGTATGGGTGTTAATATGTAAATGTGTATCTATCCTCAGAGATTTCCAGAATGTGATTAATAATATAGCATCTTATTTTCAGTGTAAATATGGAAATGGATCTCTTTTTTCTTCTTCTTTTTTTTTTTGTTTCAATATGAAAGAGCATCAGGTGACCGTTATGTATATGCGTCACTCTTATCTCCAGGTTGGGATGGCAGGGAATGTGTGTGATGAATTATTATCCGAGGATTATTTTTCTTTTCCTGTCCTGCTGCTGTAATTCTCATTCACGTCTACAACCCTTCAAATACATTTTCCATTAAATGGAAATTTGATCAGACATGTGCATTTTCCTTATTTTATCTATCAATGAATCAGTTTCAGTTTGGTGCGTCCGAAATGGCGTACTCTCTGAGTAGGTCCTAATTTGAATGTGAATTTACTTCACGACCGTTAAAAAAGGACATTCTATATAATGTGTGTAGTATAAATGTAATCATGACGTAATACATCCGCCATGTTATCATGTGACCAGCTTCACTGCCATTCATAAATCCACTCCGATGGCCTCATGGGATAGTAAAGTGTCCATCGAATGCGCATCCAGGGACTTTTTGCCTATAAAAAGTGATCAGTTGACTTAACTTAAATTGTTTTAGTTAAGTCAACTGATCACTTTTAACAGTGACTGTTTCCCCCCACAAATACTATGAATTTGGACATACTACTCTTTTTCGCCTACTAGTAGGGACGTATTTGATTTCGGACACAGCTTATGTTCTCTTATGTGATCATTTAGGCCTGTTGTTATGGTTTTGGCCCTCAGCTTGTGGTGTGTTCATGGATACACAACTCTTCTGTAATGTGACGTGCAGTGTATTTCTGAATCAGGAAAAAAACTATCCAATGGGAACTGAATGGAAGAGTCGGTGGCCTAGGTTTGAAATGAATCATTTGTAATTAGACAAAAAACTATGAAGTATTAAGAAATTAAAATAGACTTAATTTTAATTTCATGGGCAATTTCAATGAAATAAAGGTTACTGAAGTCATGGTTCCATGGAACCTTTCGAGGTTCTTATATATTACCAAGGTTCTTACAGTATATGTTCTTATAGGAAACCTTCAGCGAACAGTTCTTAAAAGAAACATTTTTTTCTTAAAGTGAAGAGCATTTTAATATTGTAAAGAACACTATAAAAACCTTTTGTGCAATGGAAAAAAATTCCAAGGATGTGAAAGGTTCTTCATGGAACAATAAAGAACTTTATTTTAAGAGTTGAAAATGTTCTTCACATTAAGATAAAATGGTTCTTTTAGAACATTGAAAGGTTCCAAAAATGGTTCTTCTATGGCATCAGTCCGGAAACCCCCTTTTGGAATCTGTATTTTTAAGAGCGGAAAGTTTTATAGTAGGACTGATTGAATCTTCAAACGGCATTTGAGTTTGGGGTGAATGTCTTATAAACGGTTCCTGCGGGTAGTAAATGTTTTTACCTGCTATCACACTCAAATGGAAGATGTTTGTTTCTCCGAGTGCAGTGAGTCCGGCAGGTTGTTTGGGCTTTATAGGGTCCTTCCTCTTTCTCAGATTAAAATGTTGACAGTGGACGGTGAAGGTCAGATGGAGGACTCGCTCACACACTCCAGATGGAGGTCTGGCCTCTACAGCTGTGATTGAACCAAAATTAATCACTTTTAGTCTTTTAATAATGTCAAACAGATCCTCAGTAATAGAGATGGATATTTGGTGCAGTGTACGTACCACTCTCTCAAAGTTGACATAAAACAATTGCATGCATTAAGTTTTATTCTATAGGAAATGTGTGTGTGACCGGGCCAATCAGCAAGAGGTCAAACAGGAGTCAACTCTCTGTGTAAAACATTCACGAACCATAAAGATCCCTGGCATAAAGACAGCCTTTTATAATGAGCTCACACTCTTTCTTCCTCTCGTTATTTCGTTTTGCTTTTTCCTTTTTATTCCCTCCAAAATCTAAATCAAAAATAGAACTATTAATGGTCTGATATACACACCTCAAAGTCTTGTGCAAAGACAAAAAAAAAGTACATTTTTAGGACCATCATTTCTTTTGCATGAAAATTAAGCACTTTAATTTCCCCCAAAATATTCTGTAATGTGAAAAATTTTGAAATTCTTTATTTTTTTTGTATCATTGTTGTATAGCTTTTTTTACTGTACTATTGTAAAAATGTACAGAATTCTAGCAACAAAAATCATAATTGATTTATAGTAATAATTCATCAAAAAATCAAAAAGCAGGGGAAATGTGCCTAATTGTTATAAAAAAAAGTCACATTGCAATAATAATAGCAATATTGTTTATGCTAATATAATGTAAAAATAAATAAATAATAATATTTGACCCAGGCATGTTTTAGCATATTTATTTCATTTCCATCTATGGTTTCTCTTCTTTTTATGATGTTGTTCATAAAGACAGAGCTTTACCTTTTTTACAACCTTATTTCACGAATCATCCAATATTTACAGGTCTGATAAACAAAAGAGTTTAGAGCTAGAGCTAGAAAATTTAGAGCTAACTAATCCGGTTTTATAAGCTTTTCTGTCCCCTCAGTTTCAGAGGTCACAGGGCAACATGTTCTGAATCTGATTCCAGGGCTCAGAGGATTTGTACAGGGTCAGTCACTCATCCAACTGGAGACCAAGGCCAAGAGCGACACCATTTTTCCCTCTTCATGTGACTTAACAAAATCTTTCTTGCACCCCTGAATGGATGTCATTCATCACCAGGAACCCTGTCCAAGAAGCCACCTGTTCAGACGACACTCTCAGTCCTTTCATGGGGCGTCCACGACGGACACATCACTCAACATCAGTCACCTTTCACCCAGGATACTGTCCTCGGGACCAGGCAACGTGAAGAGATTTCAAAACACATCTTGGTCTGCTAATTAGTCATGCATAACATGTCGGAAATGTTTAAGTGAATTTGTCTCTCTGTCGGAAAAGATGTCAGCCGAACGTGGCCTTTTAATAATCAGTCAGTTTCTTCACTTTTTGAACAGGTCTAATGCTCAGGGAAGCAGTGATTGGCTGTAAGGAAGTGGGGGTGTGGTCAACAGTTCAGAATGACTAATCACAGAACATTTTAAGAAAATTATAGCATTTTAAATATATATATATATATATATATATATATATATATATATATATATATATATATATATATATATATATATATATATGTGTGTGTGTGTGTGTGTTCACATATAGAAAAATTTAATAATTAAAAATTGATATATATTAGTTTTTATTTTATATTTATAGATTTTTTTGTAAGGAAGTGTGTGTGTGTGGGGGTTAAATAAATAAACTATTTATTTATAGTAAATAAAAACTATAAATAAAAGTTTTTAACTATTTAGAAATAAATAGTTCATAATGTATAATCACAGTATAATAATATAAAAAATAATTCATGTTTTAAAAAAAAAATTGTTTTAAAAATTGAACAAATATATGTATTTATACATCTAAAAATATAATATAAAATACTTAATTTGTTTATATCTAAAATACAATACAATTTCTACCAAAGAAAATAATCCTAAACTACATAAAATATAACTCTTTATAGACTATCGCCTGGGTGGGTAGGAGTTTCTTTTCGAGCACAAATCCTTTTAAAGGTGGACCAGTGTAAATATGAGACCCTGATATGAATTTATGGGCCACGTCTGTACAAAACGACAGTGCACAGTTTATGAGCTAATTATGCAAACGCTAAATAAAATTGCCGGGCTATGAAAGGTCAAACTCACACTTCTGACTCGGTCGCTCATCATGCGGTGCCCTGCATCGGTTACTGTGAGCAATCGCCATCAGATCTTCAGCTGCTAGAAGTATAGGCCTATTGAGAAACACAACACTTTTGACTGAAGGTTTGTTAGACGCACTCATGGGGCTGAAGCTAAAATTGTTTGACTGGATCTTAAGGAATCTTTAAAGCGGTGAGTGTGTGTCCTGACTTTCCCTCAAATGCTTTGTGAGTTTAAATCGCTGCTCTGCTTTGTCCTAGTCACTCTGGTGTGTTGGCCCAGAAAACCCTCATCCTACTTCCTTGCTCTCGTATTTTTCTCTTTCTAGGTGTCTGACTGTATAGAATATGTGTATGAGAAACATAAAATCTGGTATGGGGGTAAAAATATATAATCTAGTCAGAATTTTTGGGAGCAGCGATAAAGAGATTGCATCTTTTGGCATGAGAAACGATTATTGTCCGACAGAATTAAAAATAGTTTTAAAACACAACACTGTATTTTGTAATGAACAAGAAGTCTCAGTTGAAATATGACAAACACACACACACACAGAGTGCTGTAAGGGACCCATGGGTGACATTACTGGGAGAGAAAGAGAGTCTCTAGGACAAAATTCAATACAAATTGATAAAAATGCTGAGGGAATACATTGTGTATCATTTATCTAGCAGTGCTAGTAAAAGGAATTGGACGACTGTAGGCCTGCGGCCTGAAGAAGGAGAGGCAA